TACAGTTATCTTGGGCGAAAAGGGGAGTTTATTGAAAGAGTACCGGAGTACCTCATGGAACCCTGGGAAAGTCTGTGGAAGAGCTGGGCTTCAGAGACTGCTGGAATCAGGACTAGAAAATCTCGAGATTCTTTCCTGTTGCCTTTGTTTGTTCCCTTTAAAGGTAGGGACATTACATCTTATGGTTCTCATCACAGGAGAGTGACTGGCCCTTTCCTAATGGTCTCTATTAAGAAATCCCATGGGAGAGCCCTGACTGGACATGGGCTGGAGGCTGATATTTGGACTTATCAGCTATGGGTAGTGATGGAGTGATAGAGCAGGGCCACATGGTACAGCCTTGCTCCTGGTGGTTCCAGACAATGAATTAAAGTCACTATTGCCTGCCATAAGTCAGATTGGAGCACTGACATTAGTGTACTCCAGCTTTGTTCCCAGAACCAGAGAAGTCTATTTATGAGCTGGGACACCTCTTCCCCAGACCAATGAGTAGCACCAATGCCTCCCTTATTTTTCTCACCTCTTGGTTTCCTGAGTTTCTCTGAAGGCCATTTCTCTTCCAATGGGCTTGTTCTTTTTTTAATATTCTATGTTTGGCTACAGCCTTAAGCTGACGTCTACAAGGAAGATCCATGTTGATTTTCCACATTTTTATTCTCAAAAGACCATCTTATTTCAAATTTAATGAAATATATCACTTAAAGATTATTACCCTGTTCTTCAGATTAAAAAAAGGGAGATCACAGTTTATAACTGACTGAAAGTCATCATTCAATATTATAAAAGTTTCCATTTTGAGAGCCACATTGCCTTTTCAAAAAGATAAGTGAATATTTTAATCTTCCACCTCTATTTATGTTGAATTCTCATTGTAATAAATCATCTCTTTATATTCTAATTTTATTTTTATTGCTTTATTTATTCAATAAATATTTTTCAGTGCCTACATTGTATCAAGCTCTGTGTTAAGAGGTGATAATAAAGAGAGGGAGGAGGACCCAAATGTGGGTGGAATGGGTTTCTGCCTACTTTAAGTGAGTTGAGAGATGCGCACTGCTGCCTTGCAAGACCGGCCTGCCCAAAGCAACACTCTGATATTTGAATGATAATCATATCATTTGAATCATAACTTTGGATGAGAAGAGAGTAGGGAAACAAGTTCATTGTCGTCTTTTAACACTTAAACATTTTAACATTATGGAATATTTCCATTTTAAGATTATGCAATATTTCCATATAAAATATTTTTCAAACATCCATCTACTCATTACCTGCTCATAATGTAAGTTAATATTTTTATGTATTTTCATCATGTTTTTTTAGAGAAATGATTTATCATGACATAAATAGCCATCCAATATATCCACCCTATTGATGGACATTAGCTTCCAAATTTTCACTATTACAATAAGGCTGCATTGAATATTCTTATACATGTCTCCTTGACAATATATGCAAGGGTTTCTGTATACTCAGAAATAGAATTGCTAGGTATTAAAGATGTGCACCTTCAATTTTGCAAGATATTGTCACTGTTATAGTGTATGAATATACTCATTTTTTATATCCTTATGAACAGTATAGAGATTTTTAATTTTTACCAATCTAATGGATGTAAAGTGGTACCTCGATGTTGTTTTACTTTGCATTTCACTAATTCCTGAATTTAAGACTGAATTTTAAGCCTGAATTTATTTTCAAATATTTATTAGCCATTTTGGTGTCTTCAACTGTTTATAACCTTTGTCCATTTTTCTATGAGATTTTGTCTTTTATTGATTTGTAAGAATTTTTTATTTATTCTGGGTTCTAATCTTTTTATAATAAATATCTTCTAATCTATGGCTTCCTTGTAACTCTGTTTATGGTGTCTTTTGATCAATGGAAGTATTAAATTATAATTTAATCAAGATCTATATATAAAATTTCAGACTGTAAACCTTTTAGAAATTATATACACCCACACACATATGTAACATATATTGAGTCATCCATTTATAAATAGAGGAGTTATTTTATGTCCTTCAACAAATTTTATAATTTTCTCCATAAATATAAATCTTGTTAGATGTATTCCTATAAGAACCTTAGAAATTTTATTGCAATTATAAATGGGATTTTACCACTTTAATTATGCTTTCTAATTTCTCGTTGCTGGTATATGGGTATACTATTTTTGTATATTGATGTTGTGTCCAACAACCTTCCTGAAACTGTTGTTATGATTTGTAGATTCTCTTGGATTTTTTAATGTAGACAATCTTATCATCTGTGGAAGATGAAAATTTTGTTGCATTCTAGTTATTATATTTATGCTTCTTTTTCTTGTTTTACTGCATTTGCTAGAATCTCCAGTACACCATTGAATAGAAATGCTGACGGAGTACTTCTGTGACTGTTTGGGAGTGTCTGGGGAAGCTTTTCATCAGTTTAGTTTTGATTCTCATTTACTGTTTTCTTCTCATAGTATTGTTACCCTTTTCTGTTCATTTTAAGGATGTTGAATTTTCCTGGACTAGCAACAATCGGGTGATTCTATGGAGAGGGAATTAGAAGTTGGAGCAGTTTCTTCACTATCTTAGTTCAAGATTGCCCTCTTCTGTTGGAATAGTGAAGTGAACTTTATTTCATTAATGACATCTTTTTTGGAAGAGTGGTGGTGCTAGGACTCTTAATTTCTGGGCTTGATTTCTTATTTTTCTTTATCTTGCATGTTGCCCCCCACTTACCCAGAAACAGCACTCTTCCAAGACTGCCATTGTGGTCTTGCATACTTTCCAAGCCTCTTTCTTGGAAAGCCAGTGTTCAAATCCTCTAGTCTCAGACTTGTTCTCACTATTTCCCCATCAGGGAAGGATGCTATCTCTCTGGGGGCCAGATCCCCTGTGTTCCATCCTCACTAGGGACTTGCCACTCTCTCTTCCATGTAATCTCCACCTGATTTTGCTCCAGCATGGGCTCCATATCTTGCTCTACTGATTCAGGTTTATTTTCCCAACTACATGTAAACTGAAGTTTGTAGTCTTTTCTAGCCTCTATTGTGCTCTACACATAGGCGATTCTGTGATTTTATTTGCTTTGCTGTTGATGTGTCTGGTTTTGGAGGAGGTATATAGAGATTTGGATTTAGGGAACCAAAGGATCTAGGGATGTGTTATAATCTTGCTCTATGACTGTGAATTTGTCATTTTGTCTTTGTGATTCTGTCATTTTTTGCTCTACATATTCTATGTGTTGGTATGTTTAATGACTTAGCATTGTTGTATCTTCTTGGTGACTTGTTCCTTTCATCAGTAGGTAATAATCTTTAATAATTTTTTACTCAAAGTTGATTACATATGATATTAATATGAGAACACTAACTTGCTTTTGGTTAACACTTGTAGATATATATTTTTATATTCTTTTAGTTTCAAACTTTCTTTGAAAATAATTTTATTTTAGGTATAAAAGCACAGACTTGGACTATATAATACAATTTGATGTTCAGTGTAAGGCTGAGAAAATACTTTCACTGATGGATTTAACCCCTTTACTTTCATTGTAATTGCAAAGATATTTAATTTCATTTCTATGATTTTAATTTGTCTTACGAGCAGAAATGATTTTCTTCTCTTCTTTTTGTTCTCCTTTCCTACTTTCTGTTAGGTTGGTCTTTAAAAAAATGTCCCATTTGCTGGTTTGAAAGTTACACTTCTAATTTTTGTTCTTTTAATTGCCAGTACTCAAACTTTAGTGTGCATCAGACTTACCTAGAGGGCTTGTTAAAACACAAATTACTGAGCCCCACCCCCAGAGTTTCTAATTCAATAGATCTGGAGTGACCCAAGTATTTGCATTTCTAAGAAGTTTCCAGGTAATGCTAATGATGCTATTCTGGAAACCACACCTTGAAAACCTGTCAGGAATTGGTGGTTACCACCAGGTAAATATTAGCACCTGTAACCATTCTGAGTTGGACTGTCTTCTTGTTTTGGAATTCTTTTACTCGTTGAATTCTCTTACTTTCCCACCAGCTCAGCCATACATTAAAATGTTTAAATTTCCTTGTACCCAATATTTTTAGGTGCGAAATTCTCAGAGGAGTTTCTTTGACCATCTAGTCCCATAATCTGGCCAGGAACAGAAGTAGGGCTTTAGTTTCTCATAGGAGAAGAATTTTTTCCCCCACCCTGAGTTCCAAACAGAGAGAAACTTTCTTGCAAGTTTCCCTGGACTGGTGGCTGGAGTTTCTTTGGTTTCTTTTATGTGGAGGTACAGCCTTTACAGACTCCTGGCTGTAAGTAGGAATTTAGCTCTTTGCCTTCTGTGAAACCCAAGGCCGTGTCTCCTACCCTTGATATGCAGTTCAAACTCCAGACCCAGCCTTGGGACATCAGTTTAATCACTCCATATCATTCTAATGAGGGACATCTAATGGGACATTCTAATGGGACATCACTCATTCTGTGTGAGTATCCTCTTCATTACTAGCACCTCAGAGTTTCCTCTTTGAGTTTGGCTGTGCATGTAGATTGGGGGGGGGGGTTGGTGGGGAGGATGTATTTCATCTAGGATTTCTGTGTGTTTAATGCGGTGGAGGCTGGGGAAGCCATGTAATCTCAGTCCACCTAGTTATCTTCTGTTATCTTTTCAGTTGTCATCTAGCAGAGATCATGTGGCCTAGGATCAAAAATGTTTGAGAGGCAGAAAGTGGGTGGTAAAGAGAGTCCCAAAAGTCTGGAATGCACTTGAATTGAGGGATTTGGGATTAGTAGCATATCATTAGTACAGGAGAGTAGTAGGTAGTGCTGAATTGAAAGTAATTGAAGGAAGGGCCCCCTGCTGGTAGTAGGTAACAACATAAATAAGGCCTTGGATAGTTGTGGGTTTTGAAATTTTTATTGAGGCTAATCCTCCTCGAAATGTTTTTATTTCATGTAAAGTTATACCACTAAAAATTTAAAAGATCTTTCTTTTTGGAGCCATTCTTTTCTCAAATACTGACTTATCCCTCTTAGGTGTACATTGACAACATATGCTGAAGAATATGCTCCACCATATGATTATCAGCCACTTGTGAGTATAAGAGGGCTGAAAAGCCATATTCTAATACTTATTTATGTGCTTAAAATGATTCTTTACATCTAGTGTAAATAGTCAAGCTTGGGAAGAAAGGACAAATTGCTGAGCTTTATGATGTTTTATATTTATTTAGAGATATTATCTATTTGTGAGAGTCAATGGAATGTTTTATGGTTATGATTTATTTTTGGAAGTTTATAGATTTCAGGGAGAAAATATTGCAGTGTCCAAAATATATTACTTTCTTCCTCATCTTGTTTTATTGTCCCCTCCCTGAATTCAATTTATCTGGAATAAGAACCTACCTTTCTATTCATTTGTGTTGCATTGAGACATAAAAGTAAGTGGCTTAATTTAGCTCTGGGAAATGTGTGTGTTGGTAAAATATTTCCAGTTTATAACTTCAACATATTTGTACTTAAAAAATTAAACAACAGAAACAACACAAGGCTGCTTCCTATTAGTCTTATTCTAAGAGTCTTAACCGATGTAATAGATAAGAGATTTAACTATTGAAAAAGAGGAGAAAAAAAGACATCTTCGTTTTCAGATAGTATGATTATCTTCTTAGGATAACCAAGATACTAAACTGAGAAGTTATTAGAATGAATAAGACCACTTAGTAAGGTGACTGAATACAAAATAAGTATATCAAAGACAGTATCTTTCCTTCATATCAGCACTAACTGCTTAGTAAAGTGTAAAAGAAAAAAATACAAATTTGTGTTACTATAGCAACACAAATTTACAATACTTTTATGAGGAAAATTCTAGATCAAATTCTAGATCAAACACAATAAAGAAGGTGTGGTAGTTTGTCTCCAAAGATGGCAGACTTTCCTGTTTGCACAGGCCACTTCCCCAGCAAGAGGTGAATATCCTTCCACTTTTTGAATCTGGACTGTCAGGTGACTGATTTGATCAATAGAACACGGCAAAAGTGACCCTGTGCTAGATCTCGGCTAGCTTTAAGAAGACTGCTTCCGACTCTTGGAGCCCTGAACCACCATGTAAGAAATCTAGGCTACTCTGCTGGAGGGAGAGGAGGAACACTGATGAGCTTGACTCATGAGTGAGAAAGCCATTTTGGACGTCCAGCCTAGCTGAGCCTGGGCTGCAGCTCCAGCTGCCATCTGATTGCAACTCGCGAGAGATTCCAAGAAGAGGAGAATAATAAATTGTTGTTTGAATCAATTAAGTTTTTTGTTGTTGTTGTTTAATATGCACCCAAAGATAACAGAGACAGAAACCTCAAATACAGGGGAATAACTACCATTTTAGGGGACTGGAAAACTAATTATAAACTAAATTTATAAATTAATATAATTATTATAAAAATTCCAATGGATTTTGTTTTCTATAACAACTCTAAGATTCTAAGAATTATTTGAAAGAATAAACAGATTGAGTGTAATCAAAAGTTTTTTGAAATGGTGGCATAACCAATTTAGGGAAATAAAGGATTCATGATACTACCTTCATTATATATTATATTCTTATTTATTTTTTCTTATTAAAAAATAGCATTCAAGCCATTAAAAAAGCAAATATGACAGCTTATGGGTTAATGTGTCTTGTACACAAAGAACTCATATATATTGGCAGGAAAAATGTTAAGACCCTAGGGAAATGAGCAAAGGACATATATAAACAATTTACAAAGTAGGAAATATAATTAACTAGCTAATAAATATAGGTAAAATCCCAATTTACAAATAATAAAAGATCTGAATTAAAACAATAAGATTTATTTTGCTAATAAAATTGGCATTATTTTAAAAAATAATAATACTCAGTGGAGTGAAGATGGGGTGAGATGGGCACTTTTATCTGTTGCCAGGAAGAATGTAAATTGTTTTAATCATTCTGGAAAGGAATTTGGCAATATGTATCAAGATACTATTTGATGTAATAATTCTCCTTCTAAGAAATTTCTCCAAAGAAAAATAATTCAAACTAGGGATAAAATTTATATCCAAAGAAACTCATCACTGAATTATTTATAAAGGCAAAACTTGGAAAGTACCTAATGTTTTAGTATTAGGAGCAGTACTAATTAAATATGTTATAATCATATGATGAGATACTTTATAGCCTTAATAATGTCCATAGATAGTTCTTAGTATCTTGGTAAATTTTTATTTAAGGTTAATAAAAACTTTAAGATACAAAATTGAGTGTATATTTAAGCTCTGTAAAAATGTAGAGGGAAAAACCTGAAGGAACTGTCAAAATGCTAATCAAGTTGGCCATTGAATAGTGAGATTCTAGGTGATTTGCTTCATCTTTACACTTTTTAGAATTTTCCAATGCAGCATGTTATGATGGTTTATAATCAGAAAAACTACAAGGAAACAAATATATCATTTAAAAATGCAATTCAGGCTCATTTCCTTGTATACATGGGATTTAACTCCATCTCTAAACAAAAGGAAGTTGCAAGACATAACTAAAAATTTGCAAAATTCAAAGGACTAATTTCCCCATAGGCATAAATATAAAGAATGTGGGATGTATTCTCAGGGTGTATAAATCTTTAGCCATTGTGTTATATATTTGTGATTTTAATTTTTTCAGCATTAGTTCTACTATTTCTCATGTTGCTTGTTTCCACATGAGCAGCACAGCGTGCCATGGCCGTTGTTTGGCTTTATTTAGAGTTTTGTTCATTCACTTCTAAGTTCCATGCCAACGTGATTGATTTTGCGGCGTGTTTTTACCATTGCTTCTAGCACCTCCATTTAATGAATGCTTGAGTTACATTGTTATAGGATACAAAAAATGTTTTAAATTATAATGACAGTGGATGGTTAAATAATAGTAGATTAATGACTGAACTCCAACATAGATGTTACCATGCACATAAACAAGTGTCTGATTCATAAAATACTGACAAAAGAGGGAGAATAGTTGTTACTTGCTAGAGACTTCACCATGTGGCCTTAGCATAAACACAGTTCACCATACATGGAGGCTACTGCCTTTGCACTTATGTATTTCCTGAAGAAATCTTAACGTATTTGGATTCATATTATTTCAAATTTTGTGCATGAATTGAGACCTTATTAATTTTTATATTATAGTGTCTTGCATTTGCTTAATTCATGTTTGCATAAAGTGGGACAGCATTATAGGAAGTCTAAAGGGAATGCAAGTTATCACCCCATAGCTCTAGACGTAAGTAAGGAAATACAGAGTATTAAGAAGCTATGAAATCATTTCCAATCATTTCAATCACTTCTTCAGAACTCCACCTCTTAAGCTGGATACTTATTATGGCTCATCCCAATTTCAATGAAAAATATCTTCTCTTAAAAGCTTCACCATCCTTCTCCCAAAGAACTAAAATAGAGGAAAAGTTGCAGAGAAGATACGTTAGAGGATTGGTCCAAGGCTGCCTGTTTGTAGGTATGTGAGCCTTTAGGACAGGGGCTAAGTAGCTGAGGATAATGGTGGAGAGTCGACTGAATATACTAAGGATGAGTAAGGAAAAGAATTAGTTCAGGCAGGGACTAGCAAACTCAAGAAGTTGAAGGGTCAAGGGAATGAAAATATTGAGAAAAAAGAACAATAAGCATGGCAGTAACGAAGGAGTGAGAGAACCAGAAGAATTGGAGGTAATGAGCAAATGGGATATACTGGAATTTGTTGGAATTTTGGATGTAAAACAATTCTGGGGAATGACAGAGCCCAGGATGTGGCCATGGTAGTGAGTTTCTATAGTGGAATCAAAGTCATTAACTTGAGAAGGTGAAAAAATGGTAAGCCAGAGCATTGGTTAGATTCTAAATATGGGTGTTGGAAATCAACCTACAAGACAGCAGGAAAGAAGAATGGGGCCAAAGACTGAATCAAATCACCAGTCCCTCAGTGGGAGCACTTTGGAGGATAACGGCTACTCCCAGGCCTGCAGCTGCCATTGGAGTACATCTGGTTGGTCATTATCAAGTGTGAAGTACCATTTTGTTTTCCTAAATAGAGCTGCCCATTGAATTATCTTTCCAGGCATATGAGTAGCTTTAAACCAAAAAGTGTTGCATATCCTAGTTCATTCAGGGATCAAAAGCTGAGGAAGTTTTTAATAGAGAATTATGTTTTAAAGTTGGCACGCATTCCAAATTGACCACAAGGGGTCTGTTCAGTGTTGCATAGTAGGTAAGAAAAGAGGCTACATCTGTTTGACATCATTCCCAACAATGGCAAAACTGGCCTGTCCTGCCACTCGGGCTCTATGCACTGGTATGGATATAGCATTGTTAAAATAGCGATATTTCTGTGCTGATTGGAAATTCGCTGTGGCCTTGAGTCCCCCAGAACCCTGCCACTTGAGTAGCCTCAGCCTCTCCCCTGGACTCCCAGGACCCAGGATTGCATGATGGCTTTCCTGGGCCCTAAGCACTTGCCCCTTCGTGAGCTCTTTCTTCCATTAAAGAAAAAAAATTAAACAATATATTTTACAACTGCGTCAGTATAAAGACAAATATAATCCAAATTGGATTGTATTGTTTTGGGAGGGGATTTAAAGGCTCATTACAGAAATATGTTTCTTAGGCTATATTTCTCATTGGCATTTTGTAAAGATTACCCATCTTTTTTCCCTTTTACACTGTTTGTCTCCTTGCCTATTTATGACTATGTTATTGTATTTTATGGCCATGTTATGTGACCACGTTACTGTTAACCCTCCTGAAATTATTACAAATATACCAATGAGTGTTATCACACAAAACTAAACCACGTAATACTCATTTTTTTCTGGGAAATACTTTTGGACTTTTATATCCTATTTTAAGCAAAATTTTCTGTACAGTAGCTGCCATTGGTTTCTGCCCTGAGATGTTTGTGGATATTAAATTACCAGCATCGTTTCCTGGCTTAGCTATAAGTCTCTATCATTTAATAGAGTTAGTTTTCCAAAATGGCATCTGCATTATTTTATTGTGGTAAAATATACATCATATAAAATTTACTGTTTTAGCCCTTTTTTATTGTAC